TTTTTTTTTATTAATTAGCCCCCTGAAATTTTACTTGTGCCTCGTCCTTGATTAGAGTGCTATGGACATTATATTTAACACTCTCTTTCAGATACCATCTTTTTTGTACAGAATGTATAACTTATTTTATAATCTATAATAACTTTAATTTTTAAATATATTAAGTTTAATTTCCATTACATATCATCAGTCACAAAAAATTACATAGTATATTGTCCAAAAAGAAAACTGTATCCAAAAGAAAATGGCGAAGAGAGATTAACACTGCACAATTATCATGGATGTCTAATTAAGGTTTAGTGGAAAACTGGAAATCTAGCCATGATCCTCGGACCCCAAAAAGAAAATGCTTGAGCAGGACCAGGGGCGGAGGCAGAAATTTTTTTCAAGGGGGGCAAAATACTAAAATTTTTAAAGTTTAAGAAAGGCTAAATAATTTTTTATATGCTAATTTACAAGATTTTCAAATTTCAAAGGGCCGAGCGCCCCCCTCGCACCCCTGGCTCCACCACTGAGCAGGACTAAAGTATGTGGTTTTGCAATTGAACATACTTTGTCCTAAAGAAAAACCACAATGTGTGTCCACTACCACATATTTTTTTAAATGATGGGTGAAGTACGCTTTATATTCTATTTAATAAAATATTTTTGATTCATTTAAAAAAAAAAACAATGTGAGTCTTCTACCATATTTTTTTGGTTAAAAGAGTAATTGTATTACACTTCTAGTGCTTTTGTGTTTTCTGTGGTGGATCTGCTTTTCATTTCCATCTTCTGCTTTAAATAGTAAAAATGATTCCTAAGCAAAGTACATCATTGCCTTTTTATTTATTTACTATTAAATTTGGAGTTTTTTTTTTATTTGTTGTAAACAGGAAAACAAAGCACACTTGAATTTGTTTCCATTAAATCTCAAGTGTATGTGCAACAAAAACAGTAGGAAGTGGTTTCCTTTTCGTATTATTGACATTGAAGGTGAATTAATGTATTAGTGGGATCCTCTTAGGAAAAAACTGGGTTTCTTGCAATCAATTTGGAGTACTTTTGTACTCTCAAAATAAAAATTAACATTTTACCTAAAAAAAAAAAACCCGTACGAAGTGGTAACTGGGAACTGTCCCTTAATTATTAGCAATTCGACTGGGATGGGTGTCGGTGATGAAGGTTTGGAAAAGAAGAGAATTATTCTTTTATATAATATACGTTTTCACTGTCAAATGTGTACTAAAAACACAGCGTACGTGCATGTGTTACTTGTGTGCCGATCTATTTCTTGTGCTGAAATTCATAAGGGTATATATATTATAACAATTAACACATTTTTCATGTTGCTTATCAAAAAAAAAAAAAAAAACACATTTTTCATGTTTTGTATATTTTTTTTTGGTACATTTTTTTAAATAATGATAAATGATATTAAAATTTGATATCATAATTTAAAATTAATAATATATAAATCACATTATTTAAAAAACTAAAAACTAAATATTATATTATTTAATAAATAATTTTTTATTTTATTTTAAATTCATGATATTATATATATTAAGTGACTTAATAACATAATATAACTAATGTTATTGGTCCCAAATTTTCTATTCTCCTTATTATTACTCTTTTTCCTTGAATTTCTTCCGGTTAATTAATTACATAACGAAATTCAAGGACAAAAGTCATGCATTATTGCACCTTATATACCATTTTTTGATGGAGCAACACTGAGCAAGTTCTTGTTATATCTTTTCAGATTAATTGACTTATTTTACAAAAGTGTGTCATGCGGGAAACTTCAACTGTCTCATCAAAATGACTCCTCCATATATAGAAAGGCGCCATGGTTGGTTTTCATGTATTATGCTGAATCATAAATTTTTATCACATATCAAAATAATTTTTTACTATTTAAATTGATTTAAATTATATTAAATTATACATAAAATTAATTATTAAATTTAAATAACCATACGATTTAAACTACATCAAACTTTGCAAAATTATTCATCGAATTAAACCAACTCGTTGAAAGTGAGAGTTTACCCCTAACTAATCCAACGACGGTCTTCTTTTTTATCACACTGCGAAAAAGGACTCAACACATTTTTAGTGGTCGACATAAAGAAAAGATGAGCCCCATTACGGCGAATAGACAAGTTTGTAGAAGCTTTAAACCATAGGGGTCCGGTTTTTGAAAGTTGCTTTCAAAAACTAATAAAACAAAGAAGAGGTTGAAGAAATAATTATATATGTACTTATATTATGCATTGTGGAAGATCCACCTCCACACATATTGGCCTTTGGTAACTTCCGAAAGCCTTCCACCATCCATCCATACATCAAATTCCAATTTCTGTTTTCATACCCCTTTTTTCTCTCGGAATCATTCAAATTAGAGTGTGGGGCGTCGCAACTTTAATTTGTAATGTCATTTTCGCTAATAATTATTTGGAGGAGACCAAAGAGAGCCAGCGTTCGCTTTAACTTGCTCTACGGGAGTTTCATGTCCTTTTGCTCGTGACAGTCACACGTCCCTACTTTTTTTCATAGCAGAAAAAGATTACATCATTTTACCATTGCACTTCTTTTAGTACATTGCAGAATTAATATTTTATTTTTTTATAGTAGGACTTATTATTATTTTTTTTTACAGTATATGAATGCTAGCCACAATTCTCTTCTCATTTACTCAAAATTATTTTTTTATAAAATTAAAAAAAAAAACTAAAATAAAAAATTACCACTTATCATACCACATCATCACAAGTATTTCAAAAATAATTTTTTTATGTTTTTATTAAATTTTAAAAAAATTACTGGCAAACCACTTAATTATTTTAAAAAATATTTGTTAAAATAATAAGGTTAAAATCCCTTTTTGGTCTTTGAACTATTGTACGGATCCCCAATTTGGTCCCTGAACTAAAAAAATCCCTGGTTTGATCCCTAATGTTTACCATTTTTACCCCGATTTGGTCATTCCGTTAAAATCTCACCGTTATCTCATGACAATTTAATGACATGTCAAACCTTTGAGACACGTCAATTGTATAAATAAATAAATAATGACATGGCAACGTGACATGTCATTTCCTTGCCCAACCCAACAAAAGTGGGACCCACCAAAATTACGAATTTGCCATCATCTTCTTCCTCCATCAAACAAACCCAGCACCAAACAAACCCAGCACCAAACAAAACCAACACTTGCGTTGAATCGAACCCAACAACGCCCTTTTTTTTTTTTCCTTCCTCTTGCCTTGCTTTCTTCATCATCATCAAACACATCATCATCAAACACCAAACCCACAAAAAAATATATATATTTTTTACCCCTGGGTTCCTTTGAACCCAACTCCTGTTGGGTTCCATGGAACCCAGCGCCTGGGTTCCGACGTGGGTTCCATGGAACCTAGGCGCTGGGTTCCAAGCTAGGTTCCATGGAACCCAGGCGTGGGTTCGCCTGGGAACCCAGTGCCTGGGTTCTGGCATGGGTTGGAACCCAGGCGTAACCCCTGGGTTCCTTGGAACCCAACCCGGGCAAGCGTGCTGGGTTCGCAAGGAACCCAGCGCCTGGGTGGGTTCGAAGGAACCCAGGCCTGCTGGGTTCCAAGGGGAAAGAGAAGGGAAAGGGGAAGGAGAAAGGGAAAGGGAAAGGAGGAGAAAGAAAAAGAAAAAAGAAATAAAAAGATAAAAGAAAAAAAATTAAAATTTTATTTTTCATAATATTTTTTTATATTATTATTTTTTCCATATCATCACTTTTTTACTATATTATCTTCCACGTGGATTACTATATGACATGTCATCGTGTTCCCGTTAGTTAACAGTACACGTCACTAGATTTTTAACGGAATGACCAAATCGGGGTAAAAATGGTAAACAGTAGGGACCAAATCAGGGATTTTTTTAGTTTAGGAACCAAATTAGAGGTCTGTACAATAGTTCAGGGACCAAAAAGGAGTTTTAACCTAATAATAAAAACATCTTATTAGTAAATTTTGACATGCAATCTTTATAAAACACTACTAAAATTTCAACCTTCAGCAACATGGGAGCATGTTGCTGAAAGTGCTTGCCTCGTTGCTGAAAATGCTTGCAATGTAGGTGAAAGCCTTTTAGCAACATAGCTTTCGTTGCTGAAAGTTTCGTTGGAAATGCCTTGGTGGCTGATACATTAGCAACAAAGGGTATGTTGCTGATGTATCAGGAACATACTCCTTGTTACTAAAAGAACACTTTCAGCAACGTGATTTATGTTGGTAATATTTTTGCCAGATTCCGGTGGCCGACGGTGAAGTTTATTTAATTATTTTCAGCAACAAAAGCCACATTGCTGAAAGTTTAGGAGAAATGGTGGTTTTCAGAAGGTGGTTTTCTTTTTTCATTTTCAGCAACAAGACTCTTATTGCTGAAAGTTCAGGAATAGTACATTCCCTAGCTTTCAGCAACGTATGTCTTGTTGCTGATATTTATTTGCATACTTCCCTTATATTAATTAACTACTTAACAAATTTTAGTTTAATTAATGTAAATTAAATAACATCAATTAATTAATGTCCTATTATGTATTTTACCAAATTTGAATTTTATT